TGACAGCCGGTAAACAGGAGGAGGGCCTCACATTTCATGGATCCTTCATGAGCTTTTCGTGTGACCCCAGCCCTTCCTTAGGGAATCAAGACCCGAAGAAGGGGAAGACGTACCTGCTTGTCTGTCAGGTTGAACAGAGAGAGGCAGTCGTGAAAAATACTTAAATTATGCAGAAAGTTAATTACACTTCCTAATGAAATTATAAAGGAGAATTAGCTGGCTGTGTGTTTGTACAGAATTCCCTCAGCTGTTGCTCCTGCTCTCTGGAGAGCATGTTTTGCACAGGAGCATGTGTGTGTGTGTGTGTGTGTGTGTGTGTGTGTTGGTGTTGGCTGGAGCCCATGGCCTCATGCTCAACCACCCACCTTTGCCTCCATGGGAGTTTTATCTCTGGTTTAAAGGAAGATTTTCACCTGGGCGTGGGGTGCACACCTGTAATCCCAGCATCCAGGAGGCTGAGGCAGAAGGATCACTGCAATTGCAAGTCCAGCCTGGGCTACATAGTGAGTTCAAGGCCAGGCTGAACCACACACAGAGACCCTGTCTCAAAAACAAACATAAATTAGGCCAGGGATTTAGCTCAGTGGTTCCACTGCCTGCCTTGCAAGTGCAAAGACCCAAGTTCAATCCCCAGTACCAAAAAAAACCCAAAAAACAAAAAACAAAAAAAACATAAAAAATAAATAGGTAAGACAAAGGAAAGATTTGAATCCCTAGGGTTTTTTTTTCTTTTCTTTTTCTTTTTTTTTTTTTTTTGAGACAGAGTCTTACTAGTAGCACAGGCTAGCCTCGAACTCACAGTGACCCTCCTGCCTCAGCCTCCTGAGTGCTGGGATCACAGGTGTGCACCACCACCCCTGGCAGTACACACATTCATTTTTGTTTTCAGGGCCTGTCGGGGCGACTTTGGCCAGCAAGGGGAACTCCAGTGCACTGTGATTGGGAAATTGCACCAGCTCTTCCTTTCCCCCTGCAATGGCTGAGGCTATTGTGGCTTTGTGGCCTTGGGCGCTGTAATGGCAGCTGGAGAAAGGAGCTGGTGCAATGCCTACAGCCCAGAGCAGCCTTAAATGCTTCCTTTGCGGCTTGGCGACGCCCCGCTCTGACTTGCAGGCCAAGCTGGACCCCACCGCCCCTCCACTCCACATGCAGCACTGGGAGGTGGCGGTAGCTGGGTCTGGGGGTGCTGGCTCCAGCCTGGGCCTGGTGCTGTGCATCGTGAGCTGGGCTGGAGGCCTGGTGTGTCTGGCCCACTCCATGCTGGCTCAAGCGCTGCCCTATCCTGTGTCCCTGAGGCACGTTGAGAAGAGTCCCCACCCACTCCAGTCTGAAACCACAGCTGGGCCCGCGGTTCCAGCTCCTTGGTGATATTCATAGAACCAGAACCAGCCAGCCACAGTGCTAATCATGGAGTCCGGTTTACTCTGCAGCCGAACTTGGCATAGCACTGACGAGTTGAAGCGTGCGGTCCCTGCAGGATGCGGCGTCCTTGCTCCCCAGTGTGGGTGGCCCGGCTCCAAGCTCCCATCCCCTGGGACCCAGCCGTAGCCTCCGAGGAGAGCCGGCCGGATGGCTGAGTGTGAGGCCACCCCAATCTTCCAGAAGGCCCTGCCCACAGGGAGTGCAGGGCCTGGCTGGGATCATCCTCCGGCTGCTGCCTGGGGCTGTGTGTCTTTTAACAAAGGAAACTGCCCCTAGTCCTCACCCTGCCCTGTAGGAATAGTATAATTTCTTTAAAAATCCTGTACCGGCATTTGGATGACAGTTTGACAGCTTCTTACAAAACTGAGCATGTTTTGTTTTCCTTTGTTTTACCATGTAATCTCTGGTGATGCTCCTTAGCATTTAGTCAAATGAGCTAAATGGGTATTTACAGCAACTTCGCTCATAACTGCCCAAACTTGAAGCAGTCTGCTCCTCAGTAGGTAAAGGGATAAAGACACTGGTACGTCCATTCAGTGGAATATCATTCAACCCTGAAAAGAAATGAACTAAGCCATGTTAGGTATGTGTACGGACTTCTCACGACAGATGTGATCATTATATACTGAAAAACAGTACTAAGAAAAAGAAAAAATGAGCTAACTTGGCCAAATACCCACGTGCACGTGTATTGCCAGCAGCTTTATTTGTAACAGCCCCAAACCAGAACCCCGCCAGTACCCGTCGGCGGGCGGATGGATGGACAGACAACGTGCGGGAGGACCTGTGCCTCTTCTGGGCTGGGGAGTATGCACCGCCTTCCTTGTGATTTCACAGTGAAGGCAACTGTCACCCTTTAAATGTGTGCAGCTTCTTGTATGTCTCTATTACCTCGTTCAGACAGTTCAAGGAAGATGAAAGATCAGCCCGCTTTTGGAGTTCAAGGCCAGCCTGAGCTCCAAAGTGAGATCCTGTCTCAAAAAAAATGTGCCTCTGGCTGCAGTTTGGAGATGGGTTATGGGGCGGTGGGTGCAGTTTCGGGGAGATTGTCTTCCCCTCTTGCTCTGCCGAAAGTATGTTGGGCAGCCTTGGGGCCTGGATGGCTGCCGTGCGGGTGGTGAGGCCCTGCGCAGCCCGCCGGCCCTTCGCTCTCCTCCGTGTGGAGCCCGCCTCTCCTCAGCTCCCTGAGTCTGCAGCCACGGGAAACCGATCCTCTAGGGCAGCGCTGGTCCCAGCCGTCCCGAGGGCCGAGGCTGGAAGAGCCTGGCGGTAAAGGTCCCGGGTCCAGATCCATCTCCACACACGGCTGCGTGGCCTTCAGCCAGCGGCAGGGCCTTCCTGGAACTTGGGGCGCCCGGACCCGGAACGGAGCCTGCAGTGCTTGCTCTGCCCCTACACCCCCAGGACCCTGGACGGTCTGCCTTCCCACTGCCCCGTCTCAGGGTCCCCTCCCGGCCGAGGGCTTCCTTCCTTCCTCGCTTTGTGTCTGGCTCTTGGGCAGCCCCAGGGACCGGAGCACAGCAGATCCCCGGGAAGAGCAGCCCGGAGCCGGCGCCTCACACGGGGTCGGTTAAAACGTGCCGAGTGGTCGGCTTGTAATTTGTGTCTTTTACTGTTGAGAGCCATACTCGGGAAGATAAGTGAGCAGAGCATGGACTCCAGTTAATGACAGTGCTTAGGGAGGGTCTTAGGGCCAACTGGGCCGCCCTCTGCAATTTACTTTGAAGTAAATGTCTCAGAAGTAGGATGGGGCCACCCACTCGGAACCCCTGTTGTCTCTCCTAGGCAGAAGCTGTCTTTCTTCCGGTAAATGTTACTTAGAAAACAGAAATAAGGCGGGGCTGGGTGGTGGCTTCAGTCACCAGCCCTGCGAAAATATAGAAAAGAGAATCGAGGCAGAGGGGTGTGGGGAGGGGTAGGAGGACAAGGGGCGACCACTCTTCGTGTTGTGCTGTATTTTCTCCTTGAATATTTCTTTTCAGTACTGGGGACTGAACCCAGGGGCGCGATACCGCTGAGCTGCACCCCAGCCTTTCTCGTCTGAGACAGGGTCTCACCGAGTCACACAGGCTGGCCTGGGCCCCGCCGTCCTCCTGCTCGTCCCGAGGGGCTGGGATAGCAGTGTGCACGGTGCTGGCTCTGAGCCCTTTTACATATTTATGTATTTATTGGTACTGGGGATTGAGCTCGGGTCCTTGCGCTTGCAAGGCAGGCCACCGAGCCGCCGAGCTAAATCCCCGGCCCTTATTGTGGTTTTTTTAAGACACGTCTCACTATGTAGTCTGGGCTGGCCTTGAACTCACAGCGATCCTCCTGTCTCAGCCGCCCAAGTGTGGGGATCACGGGCGTGCGCCACAAGCCCGGCCCTTTTCTTAACCTCCCATGTTACTTACATAATTGTGATGTCTTCACCTCCGTGTCACGGGTGAGTTATTCCAAAGGGGCTTCACGCCCGGTCCCCGGCCTGTGCTGTTGCTGTGGGGATGCTGGGCTGGCTGGGACAGACATGGGGCCCATTCCCGGGCAGGGGGCTGTGGGGAACTCATTTGATGCCGCGGCAGGCACCTTGTCGCCTCACCTGCATCCTCCATGATGTGTGTCTGTCCATGTATTGTGCATTTTGGGGTGGTGCTCACGGGGCCCACACTGTCCCCCAGGGGCTGCTGCTCCTGCAGACTGGGAGGGGAGCCCAGCCTCAGTGACAGGGCCCTCAGCGGGGCTGCCCGAGAGAACATGGGGGTATGGGGGGAGGCACTGCTCAGGTCTGGTCCTTTTCACAAAGAGCGAGGGTAATAGCCCTACTTGTGGGGTCCACAGAGCATTAAGGGCAGTGATTGGAGTGAAACTGCCTGACCCGCCTGCCTGGCAAGCTACAGTCCTGGTGCAGCCGGGACCCAGGCATCTCCGGAGAACTCGGCAGGGCAGTGGGTTGGCCCACTTGGGTTTTCTGAACCCTAGCGGAGGATGAGGTGTACAGCCGGGCCCAGGTCCTGCTTGGGGCTGCTTCCAGCTGCTCAGAGGCCTGGACTGGGAGGAAACAGCTCTTTTGTTTGTTTGTTTGTTTGTTTGTTTTATTTATTTATTTATTTTTTTTTGAGGCAGGGTCTCACTATGTAGCTGAGACTAACCTGGAATTCACTATGTAGCCCAGGTTGGTCGCGAACTCACAGCGATCCTCCTGCCTCAGCCTCCCGAATGCTGGGATTGCAGGCATGTGCCACCGCGCCTGGCTAAGGGAGAGAGAGAGCTCTTGTAGCTGGGAAGGGACGAGGGATGGAGGGAGGGAAGGCGACGTAAAAGAATTAAGATTCGTGAGGTACCCGTGCCAGCTCCCCAGGCTGTGATTCCAGGATGAAGGGAATCATGCACCACACGTGGACCGATAAAAATGAGAAATAGGTCCATCCAGCAAAAACAGAGAGAAGAGGACAGCTCACAGAGGGACAGTCATCCGAAGGAGCCACCCAGCGATGGGCTGGTCGAGGGCAGGGTGGCTTCACGCCCTGTCCCTTGGCTTTGCTGTGACTCAGTTGACCCCGTTGGCTCTCTGGACTCACCGGTGTGTTCTTGCCTTGCAGGAGCCTGCGTGAAGTGCAGCAAAGGAGTGTTTGGGGCCGGCCAGGCCTGCCAGGCCATGGGCAACCTCTACCATGACGCCTGCTTCACCTGTGCCTCCTGCAGTAAGTGTGGGTGTGGGGGAGGATGGGCCGACGGTCAGCCACGGCCAGTGTGATGCGGGCGGGCTTGGGCCTGGAGTGGCCAAGAGGCGAGTGTGCCACGCACGCACTGGGCATCTGGCTTGCGGGCTGGAACCTGGCAGCTCACTGGTGTCAGCCGGGAGATCGGAACCCAGCCAGGCCCGGGCAAGCAGAGGGAAGCTCTGGGGCTGGGCTCCTCAGGCACCCCGGGCTGAGCACCCCGGTTTGGTGCCTGGCGCCTCATCTCTGTGGAGAAGGGGAGGAGGCGCCTGCTCGCCGCGGCTTGGGCACCGCTGCACACCTCCTGGTGCCCGGGGTAGAGCTGGCTCCGTGGGCTCACACTGCAGCCCAGAGCACGTGCCTGACAGACCGTGGTTTGTGCCTTGAGCAGGGTTCGCCCTTGGTGGCAAACACCAGGAAAGACTCGGGGCTGCTCAGGGGCTCCGCTGTGTGGTGCCCCACCCTGAGACCCCAGGCTGCCCGGAACCCACCTCCCCGCCTGGCCTGGCCTCTCCCTGTCTCTGAGCACTGTGGACCTGTTTAGCAGAAAGCTGGTGGGAACAAGCTGCTTCTGATGGTGCCTTCTCTCTGGGTCCTCCTGGAAGGGCGCAGGAGCTCCCGGCCTCTCTGATCAGGGCGGGATCCCCATTCCTGAGGCCCTGCCCCTTCCAGCCATGGGCTTGGAGGTGGGGATTGGAGCACAGCAACTTCAGGGGGCCCAGGCGCAGGGCAGAGCCTCTGGCTGCACTTGAGAAGCCTTCTGTTTCTGAGAGGCCGGAGTTCTTCTCACAAGGACCGAGCTCCGAGGGCTTTCCTGGGTGTACACTGGAAGCCTGTGTGAGGCATGACAGAGCGCTATCCGTCGCGTGCTCCTTCCTCTCCCCGTCCTCCCTCTGAATGTCCGTCTGTCACTTCCACCCCGCCCCACGGTGCTCCGCAGCCGTGGAGCCCTTGCCCGGCACCGGAAGGCCAGGCCCCAGTGCCTCCTCCAGCAGAGGCCCTCCATGGCGAGCTCTGCGCGCCTGTTGTCCCAAAGCTGGGGTTCCCTGGTGTTGCCGAGGCGCAGAGCCCCAGCCTGCGTCAGTGGTGGAGCAAGCTGGGTGGGGCTGCGAGACCGTGGTGCCGGGGCCAGGCCTGTGTCGGCTTTGCTGCGCCGTAGCCCTGCCGCATTTACCTTGGCCCTGTGGGTCCTTGGGCAGCTCGCTGGGTCCCTGTCCCTGTCGGTCCAAGGAATGGCGCTGAGGACAGAGCGGCTGGCCAGTGTGCCGTGGGGACACAGGGCAGGACTTGCGTCCCCTGGGGTTCTGGCCGGCTGCAGGGCGTCACGCCCAGGTGGGTCCCCTGCCCGGTGCTCACGTTTCTGGCTCAGGGTCCGGGGCGGCGACGTTCAGTTCAGTTCGTGTTTGGCGGTGAGAACCGCACCTCAGGAGGTGAAGTCTGATCCTAGCGTGCGCTTTCACTTCTAAGTTTCCCTGCCCGGGTTGGCCCGGGTTCGTGCTTGTTCTCTGGAGCTGCGATCACGAAGTGTCCACAACACCGCGCGTGGTCCCGGTTCCCGCTGCCTTCCTGGTGTCTGCGTCTCCCCTTCCTGTGGTCTCCTTGCGGCTCCTGCCTGAAGAAGGGCGGAGCCACGGCCCCGGTCCCTTTCCTTGCTGTGAGTGTTTGGCCGCGTGGAGATGTGCGCTGTGACCCTTGTCGCACCCGAGTGGGCGGGCAGGAGAGGCAGTGGTCAGCAGGCCAGCTCTGGGTGTCCAGAGGTGTCTGAGCAGGGGCTGGCGCCATCCGTGTTCAGAGAGAGGAGGGATGCAGGGAAGACAGCGCCTGAAGGGGTCCCACAGAGGACAGCAGACCAGCAGGGAGGAAGTAGGTGGGGCGCGTCCTCCCTAAGACTGGAGATTTGGAGCCGGGCCTGGTGGCGCACACCTGTGATCCCAGCCCTTGGGAGGCTGGGGCGGGAGGGTCACTGCAGATTCAAGGCCAGCCTGGCAAGACCCTGTCTAAAAATAAATAGGTAAGTAGATAAAAAGGAAGATTCTGTTCATTTTGTAAAGAGTAAGGGAATTCCATCCGGGGGTCATGGTGAAGCGCTCCACCGCCCTTCTTAGTGCTCACACTTGCTGTTACTTTTCCACTGTGTGAGCCAGAAGCTGCTTGGTGGAGTCACTGTCCTCCGGGGGCAGGGAGCACGAGAGTGCCCAGGACAGCCCGAGCCCGGAGGCCGCTGAGGGCCGGGAGGAGCGGTCACTCAGGATGCGGGGGCACACCGAGGGGCAGCTGGGCAGCCCCACCTGGGGGAACTCCACCCTCGCCCTGAGGTCATGGGATACCGTCACGCCCTCAGGCACCAGAGATCATTTCCAGCCTGGGAAAGTCTCCCAGGGTGGCAGCCTGCAGGACAGCACAGCACCATTTCGTCCCCCAAGGGACAGGGGACGTGAGGACGAGGACGGACCTAGGCCTTGGGAGGGAGGTGCTCTGACCCGGCAGGAAGTAGGGAGCCGCCTGGAGTCCCAGGAAAGGGCTCGTCAGCTGCTTGGGTTCTTTGGGTTTTTGAGACAGGGTCTCGCCGTGTAGCCCAGGTTGGCCTCAAACTCGTGGTGATCCTCCTGCCTCAGCCTCCGAGGGCTGGGGGTCAGGACCGTGCCCTCTTCGTGGTGAGTCATGTGTTCCTGCCCCATGGTGCCCAGTCACCTTTGGACTCTAGATGTTGTAGGTTTAGCCTCAGGAGCCCTGGGTATTTCGCATTCTTTTGCCTTCTGGGCTTTGCCACTAGCAGCTGAAAACAGCGACCCTTCCCAGCCTCCCGTTTTCCACTTGCTGCTGGCCTCAGGTGCTCCCCAGGCTTGGCTGGAGGGCGCAGGCATTGTGTCCGCCTCGCCACCTCGGGATTTCTTCCATCTCGGAGCCGAGTGCAGACCTGCGCCCAGCTGCAGCCTCGCATCTCCCAGTGCTCTCTCCCTGCCCTGGTCAGCAATGGCCTGATGCAGTGGGAACAGAAAAGCAGAGTGGATTTGTAACGCTGCAACAGCAAGGAAGACCCGGGCGTGGTGGCACACACCTGTCATCCCAGCACTCGGGATGCTGAGGCAGGAGGATCGCTGTGGATTCAAAGCCATGTCCGGAATTTAGCTCAGTGGAGCCACTGCCTGCCTTGAAAGCACAAGGTCCCGAGTTCGATCTCAGGTACCAAAAAAAAAAAAAAAAAAAAAAAAAATTCAAGGCCAGCAGCCTGGGTTACATAGTGAGTTCAAGGTCAGCCTGGACTGCAGGGCGAGATCCAGACTAAAAATCTTTAAAAAAAAAATATGGAAGAAGCTCCGCAGGTGGCAAGAAGGACACATTGGAGCAGATGGCGGGAAGGGTGCACAGCGGCGCTGACCTCCGCTGGCGCAGTGGCTGTGATAGGGCTGGGACTGTGTCTCATTTTCTGTGGGACTGCATTTTACAGGAGACCAAGTCAGACAGAGGGAAATTAAACGCCACCCCACCCAGCTGGTAACCACAGCAGAGCCGAGAAGGACGAGGAGTCATTTTAGTCCTCGAGGGTGTCGCTGGCTTCCCCGCTGTGACGCCTCTGCTAAGTGGCTCAAGAGGCTCGGGGCAGCCTGGGGTCCCCTTCCTGGGAGGGCAGAGGCTAGGGGGACCCCAGCCTGAGCAACCCCACTCCCACCTTCTGCCCATTCCTTGGCTTGCTGAACCCGGCGAGCCTGCACCCCGTTTCTTGGAGTCAGGCCAACGTGGTTGATTTTAGTTGCTTTTATTAGCAGTACCCCCACCTTGTCCTGTGGGTTGGGCTGCACTGAGCTGCATCCCCAGCCCCTTTTTATGCTTTATTTCAAGACAGGGTCTTGCTAAGTCACCAGGTTGCATGGCCTGGGATCAAACTTGCATTCTTCCTGCCTCAGCCTCCCAGAGTGCTGGGATTACAGGCATCACACACAACGCCTGGCCAGCAGTACCTTTTCGAAGTTCATCTGCTCTGGAAAAGGCCGTGTGTAGCGGGGCTGGGTTGTGCTCTGACATCCTGGTCACAGGAGGCCATTGAGTGCCCGCTCAAGACCCAAACTGAGCCTCTCGAGTTACCGTATTCATGTCTGTCGTCTGGAGAGCCCGGTGGGCAGGGGGATGGGACTGACAGGGACCAGACCCCAGCGCCCGGTCCGGTGAGTGCTGACTTCTGGCGCCCGTTCTCTCAGCCCCGCTCCGTGCTGGGGGAGCCCCACTTTGCTCGCGGGCGAGGTGTTTGGGAACTGAAATCTCAGGATGGCTCCAGCTAAGGACCGCTCATGGCCTTCTGGAAGGGAGGTGAAGCGCAGGTGGCCGGCCGAGGTTCAGCTGCGCCTGTGTTGTGCAGCTGCCTGGAGTGACAGCCTCTGCAGCTGACAGGGCCATCATAGCCTTCTCAGTACGGGTGCCCTGGAGCAGAATCGAGCGCCACTGTGGGAAGCGTCTCTGGAGCAGATGCTCTGTACATTTATCAGTTAGTATTTCATAAGCTCTGCTGCACCATGAAAATCAGGAGCACTTCTGACACAGAACTCAAAGACTGGGTGTCTGGTGTGTGGCCAGTGTGCCTGTTGCCTGCTCTGTCCTCATGGGTGCTTCATTTGTTTTGTCTAGAGCAGGCTCTTGCTCTGTAGTTCTGACCTTGAACTCACTGTGCAGCCTGGGATGGCCTCAAACTCAGCGATCCTCCTGCCTCAGCCTCCTGAGTGCTGAGATTTGTGGCCTGCACCACCATGCTGGGCAACAGCCTGATTCCGAAAGCAGAATTTTGAAGCTGTAACACGAGCCCTGCCACCTAGCCAGCATTTTTATGTTTGGTGCCGATGATCCAGGAGGGTCTAGGCTTTGGCTTAGCACTTTGCTTGGACCAGGACAGGGGACAGCCTCACTGGGTGGTTCTCAAAGTGTGGGCCCTGGACTGGTGCCATCCACACGGCCTCCAACTTTCTGGCAGTGTGAGTTCTCACACACCCTCC